GAAAGGCAGAGGGAACGCAGGTGCTCCGCCGCAGCCAGGCCTGGGACGCTCGGTTCAGGCTCGGCCGCTCGCCCTGCATTACCACTTTGGACCACTAGAGGTCAGCGCCACACCGCGCTCCTATCACCCCAAAAGACATTGGTTTTTCACATCCACCGAGTCAGAGAGCGGGCGGGAGACGTGGAGGGTTCTTGGTGAGTGCGGCCCGAAGTCTGAAAACTCGGGTGAAGAATCTGAAAACAGCCCCACCCCTTTTGCCCCGACACTTGGGACTCAGTAAGAAGGGGCCATTTCTAGGTGGGCTGAGTGGGCGCAGGGGCTGTCTAGAATGCCCTGGCGGTGAGGGTGGAGTGTGGGAGGAGACACTGGGTTCTCTCGGGTTCACCCACCTGGAACTGGAATTATCACTTTGGAAATAAAGCGCGTGTCCTTGCCCCCTCACGCTCAAGCTATAAATACCCTTGCAGCAGCTGCACGGGGGAGGGGCACTCAGGGCTTGCCTGGTGGGAGGGGAGACTCCAGAAAGGTGGGGGTAGTGGGTCCAGCCCAGGTCCAGGGTGTCAGGTGTTTTCCTGCTTTGATGGCCCGGCGCTGCTTTGGAAACTCCCGTGACTAGCTCGCTGGCTGGAACATGCAGTCCCCCAAGGCCTATCCAAGGCCTCCCACCCCCATCCTCCAGCCTGACCTCTGGCCCCTGGATGACTCAGGTCCTCTCTGGAGTCAGTCACAGCTGGGGATGCAGAGAGGTCTCTCCCTTAGGAGGCATGGGATTGGGAGCTAAAGAGGAGGGCAGCCTGGCCCAGAGTCAAGAACCATTGAGGGTGGTGAGGAAGCACACAGCTGCAGCCCAGTCAGCCTTCCCAGGGTGGGGAGGGCTCCCCTCCAGGCCTAGCCAGGGAAGGAGGCTCCTTTCTCCTCCTCAATCTTAGCTTTGGCAACCAGGCCACTGAATGGCCAGGGCATCGCCTTGCCTGTGGGGAGGGCACTGCCAGACCCAGGGGCCCACACTGTACCAACAGGCAGCCCAGAGCAGGTCCCCAGCCCTGCTGGAGAGAGAAAGCCTAGAGGAATGAGGCAGAAATCCAGACCTGCCTCACTCTGGCTGTGTGACTTAGGCAAGCAACATAATCTTTCCAAGCCTCATTTTCTGAACTGTAAAAACGGAGGATGGCAATGACTATCTCTTGAGGGAGGGTAAAGACTTGCTTGGCACCCAGGCTCAACTTGAATCAGATTGACTTATAATTAAAATCTCTATGGTTATTATAAAGTAGAGGGTCAACGAGTTGGATTGACACAGTGGCTGCAACAATGGGCTCAAGCATAACGATTGTGAGGATGGCACAGGACCGGGCAGTGTTTCGTTCTGTTGTACATAGGGTCGCTATGAGTTGGAACCAACTTGACGGCACCTAATAGCAACAACATGGTTATTTTAGGAGCCCTGGTGGCACAGTGGTTAAGTGCTACGGCTGTTAACCAAAAGGTCAGCAGTTCGGATCCAGCAGCTGCTCCTTGGAAACCCTGTGGGGCAGTTCTAGTCTGTTCTATAGTGTTGCTATGAGTTGGAATGGACTCGACGGCAATGGGTTTGGTTTTTTGTTTTGGTGGCGGAGTGGTTCACCAGCTGCTCCTCTCCTTGGGAGAAAGATGTGGCAATCTGCTTCCATAAAGATTACACCCTTGGAAACCGTATAGGGCAGTCCTACTCTGTTCTATAAGATCACAATGAGTTGGGATTGACGGGAAGGCAGTGGGTTATTTTGGGTTATGCTTATTTTAGGGTTAGATTATTCTCTCTAGGAACTGATCAGCATTCCTCTGATGAATTTTAGCTGTCAGACCTAAGTCCTGTCCGTGCTCCAGGTTCCAGGGCCTGACAAATCCACTGACCAAGATTGCAGGCAGCCCCTGATGACAGCGCTGGAAATGCACAAGGAGGTCATTTTACAGATGGGAAGAGAGAGCTCAGAGGGGAAGGTGAGAAACCCCTCTCATGCCCTCTTCCCCTATGAGTCAGGGCAGAGTCAAGATGAATTCAGGTGCTGCCCATGGGGAGGCTGGGAAGCCCACCTGGCCACAAGCCTCGGAGTTCCATCCTTCCTGGGTGATGATAAAAGTAACACCACTCTTTAAACACCAGGTGCTTCACACACCTTGGTTCTAGTCCTCACAACAACCCATGAGGTAGGTGTGAACATTCTATTGTACAGATAAGAATAACAGCCATAAAGAGGTCTACTTACCTCAGGGCCAAAACCAGTTCCCATCAGCCATCATGACTCATGCCAACCCCTTGTGTGTCAGAGTAGAACTGTGCTCCATAGGGTTTTCTTTTTTCCTTAAACATTTTACTTTAATCAAAACGTATAAATATACATGTATTCATTAATCTTTGTTTTATAACTTTTTTTACAGGTGTACAATTTATTGGCAGCAATTACAATAATCGGCTGTGCAACCCTACCCTTAATCAATGAGATATTTCCATCACCTTTAACCCTCCCTTTCCCCCTCCCTCCTGCCCTGGTAATCACTAATAAACTTCGTTCTCTGTACACTTGCCCTTTCTTGTGTTTTTAAATAAGTGAGGTCATACAATATTTGTCCTTTTGTGACTGACTTATTTCACTCAGCATAATGTCTTCCAGCTCCATCCATACTGTAGCATGTATCAAGACCTCATTTCTCCTACTGGCTGAGTAGTATTCCATTGTATGTATGTACCACATTTTGTTGATCCATTCAACTGTTGATGAGCATTTAGGTTGTTTCCACCTTTTGGCTATGGTGAACAGTGTTACAACGAACTCTGGTGTACAAGTCTCTGTTTGAATCTTTGCTTTCAAGTCTTTTGGGTATATACCTCGGGAGTAGAATTGCTGGGTCATATTCGTGTTCTATTTTTAGTTTTTTGAGGAACTGCCACACTGTTTTCCACAGGGCCTCTACCATTTTGCATTCCCACCAGCAATGGGTAAGGCTTCCAAGTTCCCCCACATCCTTGCAATCATTTGCTATTTTTGTTGTTATTATTATTTTTTTAATCTTAGCCATCCTAGCGGGAGTGAAATGGTATCTCATTGTGGTTTTGATTTGCATCTCTCTGATGGCTAACGACACGGAGCATCTTTTCACGTATTTGGTGGCCATTCCCAGGTCCTCTTTGGTGAAATGTCTATTCAAGTACTTTGCCCATTTTATGATTGGGTTGTCTTTTTGTTAAGTTTGATATATATTTTGGTTATTAGATTCTTGTCAGATATATGGTTTCCGAAGATATTCTCCCAGTCGGTAGTTTGTCTTTTCACTTTTTTGTTAAAGTCTTTTGATGAACAGAAGCTTTTACTGTTTAAGAGGTCCCATTTATTTATGCTATCTTTTGCTGTTTGTGTTTTTGTTATTATATTATATAATCCGTTGTTAAAAGCTAGAACTGACAGCATTGCACCTGCTTTTCCTTCTAAGAATTTTATTGTTTTAGTTTGCACATTTAGGTCCTTAATCCATTTTGAATTTGTTTTCGTGTATAGTGTGAGGCATGGATCCTGTTTCATTTTCTCCACGTGGAAATCCAATTTTCCTAGCACCATTTGTTGAAGAGATTCTTCTTTCGCCATTGAACGGACTTAGCACCGTTGTCAAAAATCAGTTGACCATAGATGTGTGGGTTTATTTCTGGACTCTCAGTTCTATCCCATTGGACTCTGTGTCTATTGTTATACCAGTACGAGCCTATTTGACTACTGTAGCTTTATAGTATGTTTTAAGATCAGGAAGTGTGAGTCCTCCTATTTTGTTTTTCTCTTTCAACATTCTTTTAGCCATTCCAGGCCTCTTGCCAGTCCATATAAAGTTGAGGATTGGTTATTCTATTTCTGTAAAGAAGGCTGTTGGAATTTTGACTGGGATTGCTTTGCATCTATCAATCTCTTTGGGTAGTACTCCATAGGGTTTTCAAGGGCTGATTTTTTGGAAGTAGATCACCAGGCTTTCTCCCAAGGTGCCTCTGGGTGGACCTTTCAGTTAGCAGCCAAGTGTGTTAAGCATTTGCACCACCCAAGGACTTGCTTATAAGGGCAGAGAGACCATTATATTGGGGGTTACCTGATAACTGGGCTCTTGTCTCTAGAAGACTGGGGACAGGTCTGCCTTCTTGCATCTTGTAAACACAAGCTACCCCCTAATTCAGGAATCCTCACACACAATGCCCAGGAAGCCAGTGACTCCTCTCCTGATTGGCCCCCAGGCTGTGTCCAGCCCCTCTCTGTCCTCCGTCCCTGGGCCTTGACCAGGTCAGGCCACACCGAGGACAGAGCTGGCCCAGTCATGTCTGATTTCGGGCTCCCAAGCCCTGGGACAGCATCGGAGCAAGAGACATAGCCTAGAGGCTGCAAGGCTGTTAGGGCGAGAGCCAGACTGAAATCCCTGTCCCCTCCCCTCCCCCTGCAGCCACCTGTGGCAAGGGCATCTTGGTGTTGGCCCAGCTTCCTGGGCTGGGGGAATAAGGAAGGAGGAAACCCAGCCAGTGCCTTACCCAGTAAGACACCTGGCCCTTTCAGGGAAAGAGAACGTTTGGCTCACAACTGAAGTGACTGAGGCACAGACAGGTCTCAGGTGCCCCTGGCTCCCCACTGAGAGGGTGGGGTCCTTAAAGTTCCCCAACCCCCATGGCCTCCTTCAATCATATTGTTAGGGGCAGAAGGAGGGGGCTCTGTTCCAGGGATTCTTCACAGATTCCTAAGGCAGAGGCCAGGCAGGCTGAAATGGGAAATGAGGCAGGCAGGTGAGGGGATATTGAGGCCCCCCCCCCATTGCCTTGCCCGCTGCAGGGGGTAAGATAGCATTAGTTCAGGATTAGGCCTAAACCCAATCCCGCCAAAAGCAGACGCAGAAGCCTGCTAAGTCCCCCCGCCAGGTTGGCTGTAGTCATGATGGGGGAGGCAGGGGAAGAGCCCTCTTCCGGGGATGGGGCAAGGGTCCCACACACTGAACATGGAGCAGAGGTCAGGAGGTTTATAAAGCAGCCTGTGTAGTGGCATCCTGGCTGGACTTGGGGGCACTCAGCCCTGCCCCCTGCAGGTCTTGTCCGTACCCCAGTTGGTGCCTGGCCAAGCAGTCAGTCTGAGGGGCCTTGGCACTTCTGACAGTCCTTCATGTCCTCAGAGTAGTCCTCAATCTGGATGGTCATCGTGTGGAAATGGAACCTCCCCTGGAGCCGGGTGCGGGCCGCCTTCAGCACAGCCTGGGCGTCTGTGTTCCGAGCTGGGGGCCGGGAGGACACACCAGGGGGGGCACCAGACCTGTTTACTCACCCTCATTCCCTCAGGAGGAACCAGGAGCCCCAGCCTCACACCCTACCCTCCGCCCCAGCAGAACAGGCAAGGGGACCACGGGCATCAAGAAGCCCCCAGGGAAAAAAAACAAAAGAAAGAAAGAGAAAATGGAAAGATATGTTACACTGACTATCTGCACACCCACCTACGTGAATGAATAGATACGTGATGAAGCACACAGGGCAAAATGTTAATAACTGGATCATAGTTTAACAAGATTTTCTCAGATAAATGTTTTCTAAAATATCAGTTTACTAGAGGAAGAATGGAGGTTCCTCCTTCCCTAGTAGATTTTTTAACATTAAACTGTCCTGCCATTTTTAGAATCAAATATACTTGGTCACAAAAAGAAAAGAAGCTCCCAGATTCCCCTCCCCCACCAGGCAACCCTCAGTCCACAGACCTGGCAGGACCCTGAAAGAGCCGGAAGAGCCCTGGCCTTGAGACTGGGAACCTGCCTTCTTCTGCCACTTATTAGCTGTAAAACCTGAGCAAGCGACTTCCCATACCCACCTCACCCTCGGTTTCTTCATCTATAAATGGGATTGTGAGGATCAAATGAAATAATGCCTGCAAATACTCAGCATGGTGCCAGATTCAGTACCTGGGCACTGTAAGCATCTGGGACCAGCTGACCCATTGGGGAAAGCCCTAGCCTATTGGTTGTCTCTTCCCTTCACCCCGGCCCCAGGGGTCCCCAGCCACTCACCAATGGCAATGTGGACAGACAGCACGGGCTGGGCCACGGTCAGTGCCCAGATATGCAGGCTGTGCAAGGCTTCCACCCCCTCCACCGACAGCAGCAGATCCCGCACAGCCGTGAAGTCCATGCCCTTGGGGGTCCCTGAGGATGGCAGGGACAGAGGCTGGAAGGACATAGGTCCCTCCTACCCATCCCATCTGTGCAAAGCTGGCTCCTACTCCTAAATGTTACCTCCTCAGAGAAGACTTCTTTGACCAACTGATCTAATGTTGCCTCCACTTCCCCAACTCTCCATCGTATCACCATATTTTATTTTCCTGTTCACTCTTAACACTGTCTGAAATGATCGTATTTGTGAATTTGTTTATTGTTTTCTTTACCACTATATCCCCAGTGCTTAGAACAGTGCCTGGCCCGTAGTAGGTGCTCAATAAATTGTCTTTGAATGGAAGGAAGAAAAGGAAAGACGGGAACTTGGGAATCCCTGGGCATCATAAACAGTATCAACATCATCATCACCTTCACCGTTATCTGGGTCAGTCAGATTCTTGGAGAAAAAGCTCTGACCTGCACCTAGCTACTCCTGCTGACCCCAGACCAATATCCAACTCCAGACTGACCCTGGCCACACAGAGACCCATGACCCTGGCCCAAGACCGAAGCCCTTCGGGCACAAGGAAAGGGGAATGAGTGTGGTCATTCAGGGCAGGCCATTCTCCACTACCGAGCAATCCCCTCAAATCCCAGTCATGTCCTCCCAAGACACGGACACAGTCTGGTCCCTGAGATGTTGTGGAAAAGGCCTGAGCTGGGAGTGGATTCAGCAGCCTTGCCCAAGACTGATGGTCCTTTTCTGAGCCTCAGTCTGCCCCTCTGTGCAATGGGAAGCACAATCCATGCCCCCTCCCTCTGCCTGAGGGAAGGCCATGGGAGACTGAGGAGGTGTTTGGGGAAAGCTGAGTGCCAGGTGCCACAGATATCACCCAGAAGCCACCTGGCTAGGCAGGAGGATGCATCCCATCAGGGGAGGTGGCACCCTCAGGGCAGCAGCTGGGGAAAGGAAGGCACAGGCCAGAGGGCATTTCCAGAAGTGCCACATCTCAGGGCCCAGCTTGATGCCAAGATTGGCTTGGGGCCCCAGGAGGTTTTCCAGTCTATACCAGGCTCCAGACCATGGCTCTGCCACCAGTGTGCCAGAATCCTCGTCCCTCACCCTACATACACCCTAAGTTGAGGATTATAAGACCTAGAGGGCCAAGAGCGAAAAAGGAGCCCCAAGCCCAGGCTACCTTCCATCAGCACCAGGATCACATCTCTCAAGATGGTCAGGGTCGTCCCCAGGACCAGGATGGAGAAGAGGAAGGTGCAGATAGGGTCCACGTACTTGTACTCCGGCTACAGAAATCGGGGAAGGCAAAGCTGGGGCCCACCACCTCACACTCCAGCTGCCCTTCTCCCCTCCCACCTAGCACAGTGGCAGGGAGAGGGGCTCTCTTCTGCAGGCTGGGCACCAGCCTCACGCTGGCCCTGCTCCCAGTTCTCTGTCCTTTATTCTGTGTCCTGAAGAACAGGCAGGCAGACCACAGTGCAAGGTAAAGCACAATCTCTTCCACTCTCCTTGCTCAAGGGGCTGAGGCATGGACAGAGCTAAAAGAAATCTTAGACACCATTCAGTTCAATGCCCCCACTTACAGATGGGGAAATTGAGGCTCCAAGAGAGGAAGCGGCTCCCTCAATGTCACATAGCTAGCAAGTGGTGGAGTCAGGCTTCAAATCCAGGCCTGACTCCAATGCCTGCTCTTTCCTCTGTATCTACCTGATAAGCAAAGCCCAGGGCTTTGGCACCACACAGTCCTAGGTCTGAGTCTGACTGCACAACTTACCAGCTGTGTAACACTGAGGAAGGCACTGAACCTCTCTGAGCCACAGAAAACACCACCACCTACCATTCAGGGTTGTCGTGAAGGTCTCAAGTGCTGACACTTGGTAAGTGTTGGATAAATGCCAGCTCCTTCTCTCTCCCAACCCTTGTCTCCAGAGCTGGAAGGGGGCTAGAATGGGGTAAGGGCCCTGAGCAGAGAGGAGTCCCCAGATGATCTACACTCTCCTGCTCCCCAGACCTCCTTCTGCCCCCGGCTCTGACCTTGAAGTATAAAATATAGGCTGCCACCAGGACGCCCAAGCTCTGCAGAAAGTCCCCAATCACGTGGACAAAGGCAGCTCGGACACTGGGGTTCTCCTGCTGCTTGCTGGTGTCATGACTGTGCCCGTGGCTGTGGCTGTGACCATGGCCAGACTGGTGAAGGGTCAGCCCCATTCTACAGAAATGGAGACAGAGCTGAGTGGTTCACTGAGGTAGCAGGTAGAGGCCGCCATCATGGCTGGCCTCTCCGCAGGGTAAAAACATCCTCCACCTCCCAGACTCTGCGTGATCACTTTGGCCATGTGAGGGGCCCAGCCTGCATGGCCTTGGTTCAAAGTGCCACAGAAGAAAGGGCTCGGCTCCAGTGTCAGGCTGAGTCTGAGCACGCTGCTGGACCAGTACCGAATCTCAGAACGGGAGGGAACGATGAAGGCCATCTAGTCCCCCCGCCATGTCACAGATGGGGAAGCTGAGGCCTAGAGAGGGGAAGTAGCCTCTCCAAGGTCACTGAGCAAGGGAGAAAAAGAGCCTCAGGGAGATATCAATGCTCTACACACCACTGCCACTCACAGACACTGATTTCAGGAACATCAGCTTGAAAGGACTTGGATTCGATTCTGGCCCCAGAAACATCTATTCCTGCAGGAACTAGGTTCCTCCCTCCCTTCTTTAGGTATGAAGCCTCCAAGGTTATTCACTGACATGTATGGGGGGAGGGCAGGGAGGGGGATTGATTGTGGCCCAGATTTGCAGCTCCAGATGCCCTTGACCTAGGCCTAAAACAGAACCCAGGTGTCCAAGGTGCCAGAGCTCAGACCGCTGGGGAGATTCTGTCCCCATTACCTGTGCTGGACGTGGCATGGCCTCCTTCCACCAAGAGCGGTCACATGGGTATGTATGTGAAAGGTTTGGGGAGGGGGTCTTGTGGGGTAACTGAAGCCACACTCACATGATGTTCACAGCCACAGCACAGCCGGATGTGATCAGCATGGTCCCGCCCTCGATCTCATAGTTCCCAGAGACTAGCCGCTCCACCGCCAGGTATACCAGCACCCCGGTCACCACCCAGATGGACATCACAGACAACAGGGCTCCCAGGATCTCTGAGGAAGAACCAGACCTCCAATACCAACCTCAGTGTGTGGCCCTAGGGCTAAGAAAGCCTCCCCTTCCCTCCTCGACCCCCCTCACACCAGACTGCAAAGTCAGGGCCTGGGTGCCACTGGGCTCTGCTGAGGTACAGCTAGCACATTGCACCTTACCCTACCACTCATGTGTCTGAGGACATCAGAGCTAGAAGGGACTTAAGAAGTCATTTGGGTCAACTTATTTCGTTTGACATGTTAAAAAAAATAAAATGACTTATTAAAATATATACCCATTGCTCAGCTGGCAAACTGAGGCTTCTGAGGAGAGGCTGGGCCGTCTCCCACCAAGAGGAAAATGACAGTGCAGCCCGGAGGTGAATTAAACAGGGTTGAAAGCCTATATCTTCCAGAAGGCTTTGCTGATCTTGCCCTCCCCCTAAAGCTGATCCATGGGGTTCGGTGCAGGGTTAACGCCATAATCATTTGTTCTTGAAGTAGGACAGCTGCACTTCTCAGGAAGGTGACCTCTCTTCTCTATAGACTGGGAATTCCCGGAGGACAGAGACCAAGGTTGACATCCTCTTCCCCTACCCAGGTCACCCGCCCGGCCTCATTCAGGGCTCCACCGATTGCAGCCACCTAAGAATCCAGGTCCTCATGGTCTTGGGGAACTTCTAGCTCAATTGGCATAACACAGTTTATAAAGACAATGTTCTACATTCTATCTTGGTGAGTAGCGTCTGGGGTCTTAAAAGCCTGTGAGCAGCCATCTAAGATACTCCACTGGTCTCACCCCTTTGGGAGCAAAGGAGAATGAAAAGAACAGGATACAAGGAAAACATTAGTCCAAGGCCCCCACCAGACAGTCCAGCACAGCTAGATGGTGCCCGGCTACCACCACTGACTGCTCTGACAGGGATCCCAACAGAGGGTTCTAGACAGAGCTGGAGAAGGATGTAGAACATAATTCTAACTCACAAAAAAAAGACCAGATTTACTGGCCTGAAAAAGTCTGGAGAAACCCCGAGAGTATGGCCCCCAGACACCCTTTTAGCTCAGTGGTAAAGTCACTTTCGAGGTTCACCATTCAGCCGGGGATTGGACAGCCCCATAAAACAAAATGGGACTAATGAGGCACAGCAGTCCAGGGACAAGGACTAGAAGGCAGAAAGGGACAGGAAAGCTGATGATAGGGAATCCAAGGTTGAGTAAGGCCAGTGTTGACATGTCGTGGGGTTGTTAACCATTGTCATAGGGCAACATGTGTACTAACTCTTTAATGAGAAACTATTTTGTTCTGTAAACCTTCGTCTAAAGTGAGAATAGCAGCACAACTGGAAGAACATAATCAGTGTTACTGAACTGTGCATACAGAAATGTCTGAAATTGTGTATCTTTGGCTATGTATATTTTCACCAAAAAAAAAAAAAAGGTCGAGAAGGGAGAGGGTTGACATGTCATGGGGTTGTTAACCAATGTCATAAAACAAAATGTGTACTGACTGTTTAATGAGAAACTATTTGTTCTGTAAACCTTCACCTAAAAAAAGTACAAAAAAAAAAAAAAAAAGAATCCAGGTCCTGACCTGTCCCCTCCCCCAAGTCCATCTCCAGCCTGACTAGGGCCCTTACCAGCTCGCTGCCAACCGAAGTTCATGGTCTTGGTGGCCGGCCGGGAGGACATGCAGAGGGAGAAGAGGCTGATGAGCATGCTGGCAAAGTCAGTGAGCAGGTGGGCTGCATCGGTCATTATCGCCAAGCTATGTGCCAGGTACCCACCTACAAGGGAAGGGCCAGGAGGGTGAAGGGTCCTCTTCAGCTCCCCAAGGAGCCAACCCCTCAGACTGTGTGTGCAATGGAGAGACCACAGACTCTGGAGACAGACACACCAAGTTCGAGACCTCTCCACCCATTAGCTGTGTAACCTTGGACAAGTGACTTGCTCTCCGAGCCTCAACTTCCACATCTATGAAATGGGAATAATAACATCTACTAAGAGGGTAAAAAGCAGAGTAAACCCATTGTCGTCAAGTTGATTTCGACTCATAGCGACCCTAAAGTATGGAGTAGAACTACCCCATAGGGTTTCCAAGAAGCAGCTGGTAGATTTGAACTGCTGACCTTTTGGTTGGCAGCTGATGCTTAACTACCATGCCGCCAGGGCTCCAAAAGCATGATAGGTACTCAGTAAATGCTCTCTCCTAGGCATTCAGGCCTCCCTTACCTACTAGCTGTGTGTAATCTTGGGCAAGCTGCTTAACCATAACCTGCCTCAGTTTCCTCTTCTCTACAATAGGGAGAACAGCACCCACATGACAGCAGGAGTTGTCAAGATTGCATGAGACAATGTGTATATAAAGGGCTTAGCACAGTGAGTGTTCAATAAATTGGGCTATTAATATTAATATTACTGGGGAAATCCAGGAGAAAAGTCTTTTGGATCATCCAGACAGCCCATGCCCCAACTTCAGTTAATTAGCACAGAAGTTCTCACCAACAACTTCCCCAATCATGAACACCAGGCAGATGGCAGAGGCCACATAGAGTTGGCGCCGGGCCCGCTCCCTCTTGGGGTCGAAGTGGCTGCCAGGTTCCTTCTGGGCATGGCAGTAATGGTTGCTCTGGGTGGCCAGCTCAATGGCCTGCAAGTCCAGGCCAGGCTGGGGCAGAGGGATCCAGCCAGCCCCATCCTGCCATACAGATCCCGTGTATGACCTGGTCAGAGAGGGAGGGAGAGGGGAAACTCAGCTCTGAGATGGGGCAAGGAAGGCTGACTCCGGCCCCAATTTGCTGTGGGGCCTTGGTGTTCCCATTGGACACATGCGGAAGATGGCTTGGGATACGCTGACCTCCAACAGTCCCTGAGGAATGAGGACAAGAGAAGATCGTGCTGGGGGAATGATCAATCCAGGAGTCTTGGGGCCTCGGCCTAGGCTGTTCTCTCCTCCCCCATCCCTTCCTGGGCCTGGAGGAGGCGGAAGACTTTGGGAACTGGCCAAGGGGCCGGGCTGGTTCAGCGGAGCGAAGCTTGGAGAAGGAGCTGAGCTCAGACCTGGGGAGAAGCGCAGACCCTCCCTCCCTCTTTCCCTCCCTCCTCCGCACACGTGGGGGCACAGGGCCTCCCTAGGGCGGGGCCGCCAGGGGGCAAAGTACTGGGCCAGTGGCAGGGCTCCGAGCAGCCGACTCTCCCCTCTCCCCTCTCCTCTGGTGGGCAGGGGTCAGGGTCTGCCCTCGGTCCCAAGGAAGGTATGCTCCCCGGGCCCACTTTCGATCTCCCCTTTCCCCCACCTCACCCCATCCTTCCAACATGATCCGGGTTCAAGATGCCGCCAAAACCGTCCACTGCCAGGATGGCTAACGAGGAGGTGCGTCTGATGCCGCGCAAACTCCCGCTCCTCCCCAAGCTCCCGCCTTACCGAGCTCCGGGCCTGGAGTCCAACAGATGCTGCCTCTCCGTGGCCTCCATGCGGCCCTGCGCGCCCCGCGCTTATTCCCGCCAGCCGAGCGCCGGCCGCCCCGCGAAGTGCGCCTCGAAGTTGCGCTAGGGATGGTCCGCGGCGCTCGCACCCACCTGCTGTGAGAGTCCGGAACCCACCTGCAAGGAGGGCACCGCGCGCCCTCTCCTGCCGCCCCAGCGTGTGCGCCCCCCGTCGCCGGCTCCGCCG